CTCTTGGTTCACATTGTGAGTTAAAATCGAGACTATGTTTTTCGTTAACATCTTCCTGTTTCTAGTTACAAAGTGGCTCTTATGTGGTAAGCTTAGAGGTTCCAAACTGATGAGCAACAAGAAGTTCGTCGTAGACTTCAGTCATCCAAACAGAATAATACTTATAATATTTTAGAAAATGGCTTAAAAACAAAAGAGTTAATCAATTTAGTTGAAAATGATTAAAACACGTTTTCTTTTTACACGAAAAGAAGGATGGGGTCTGAAAAATCCTTGCAGGGTATAAGTCTTTCCACATTTGTTTAGGGTTCATTCATTCAAGAGACAAGAGATACTATATTTCCACCGCCCCATGTCAAAGGAACTGGCTGAAAAAACATGATAAGGTCCATGAGGGCCACCAGCCAGCCACCACTGACTTTCTTGGAATGTTTATTGCAGAATCTCAAACTAGAAGGGAGATTGGTCGCCTGATTTGAGCAAGGTCTTCAACGTCTTGTGGGTACAACTTGGGACTTCTCATGGTTGGTGACTCTGTGTCCTATGATTGGTGCTCATAAGGGAAAGGTCACGACTTTGTTCTTGTTTTCAGCAGGGTCAGTCCTAACATTTTAAGGGTCCTAGGCAAAATAAGAGATAAGGGCCCTTAAAAAATAACTTAAAATTCAAGAATAATAAGAGATAAGGGCCCTTAAAAAATAACTTAAAATTCAAGAATAAATTTTGGTATACGCCAAACAAATTTTTTCATTAAAAATTATACGAGTAGATTCTATTACATTAACCAACATTATTTTATCAAATATATAAAGAGACATCACAATTTTTCACTCAATTTACTCCTATTATGTCTTCAATCATCTCTTAGAATCGTTTCTCTCAATCGAAAATTGATGTCTCTCACCTACAAAACAACATACACAAATTCTCATAAGAAACGGTTTCTTCTAGCATTTTGAGATGCAAAGTCATTGATAATAACATCAACATCAATGTTTCCTATCATCTCCTTCTCAATAGCTAATGTTGCTAATCCATTCAACCTTTCTTGTGACATTGATGACCTCAAGTACGTTTTTATTAATTTAAGCTTTGAGAAACTTCTTTCGGCTGAAGCTACAGTCATAGGCACAATTAATAAAATCCTATAAGCAATTGAAGCATTCGGATAACAATTTGCAGATTTGACAAACTTAAGAATTTCAGTGGTGGATAACAATTCTGTCGGCAAAGTCATTTGTAAGACTTTCAATTCATAGAAAAGATCATCTAAGTCAACATCCGATGAATTGCCATGAAAAAAGGTAGAATGAAAATGAGCACAACATTCTTTTAACTCATTATCATCTAATGACTTTAACTTATTTGAATCATATAAAAATACAAAAATACTTTCAAATATCTTCAATTGCTCAAATCTATTCTTCAAAGAAGTAATTGTCATATCTACCACAACCAAAAAATAATTGACTCTAAATGACTCTTCAAGCGATTCAACTTCGTTATCCTCATTATTCTCTCCAAAAAATTTCTTCCTAATTACACCACGTTTTGTGGGAAAGATAGGCTCCACATCCATTTCATGTACAAGACTTTTAGCTACATTCATACTAGTTGTAAAGCCTTCATCTTTATATTTTTCAAAATAGGACATCACACGTTCTAATTGTCTTATGATAGTATCAATGCACATAGATTTATATTGTAATTTCTTGCTTACCATATTAACAGCAAACAAAATGTCATACCAAATCACAACACGAATCAAAAACTCAAAACTTGAGAGTGCATTCACCAAACTTTCAGCTTCACTTTTTGACTTTGCATCATTTTCACAAGATTCATATAATTCACACAAAGCCAATCTAATTTGGGGACATTGAAATCTAATAGCTTTGACACTTTTAATTCGACTCTCCCATCGAGTATTTAATAAATATTTCACAGTTAATCTAGGAACATTATCAAGTACAATTTCCATCTCTTTGTAGAACTCGAAAACAATGCATATATGCGTTGAACAACTCCAAAAAAATAGCTTTAACACAAGAATGTGCCATATCACCAAGAGTGAGATTTAGACTATGACAAGCACAAGACATGTATAATGCTTTTGGATTAATTTCAAGAAATCTTTTTTGAACACCTTGGTGCTTTCCTTTCATATTATAACCGTTATCATAACCTTGTCCCCTCACATCATCAACATTAAGATCAAGAGACTTCAAAACATTTTGTAGTTCATTAAAGAGTCCTAATCCAGATGTATCATCCACTTTTAGAAACTCCAAAAAGAACTCCTCAATTTTATCTTTGTTATTTAATATATTAACACATCGAACTATGAGGGTCATTTGTTCTTGATGGCTCACATCAGGCGTACAATCAAGAATAATGGAAAAGTATTTAGCCTCTTTAATGATCTTAATGATAGAATTTCTCACACTTTGATACAAAAGGGAAATAAACTCATTTTGAATTTTTTATCCAAGATAATGATAATGAATTTCACGATCCTGAATGCGTCTAACATGATCTTGCATAATCAAATCAAACTCTGCAATCATTTCAATCAATCCCAGAAAATTATCATTGTTATATTGATATTGTTTTTCATTGGATCCTCGAAATGCAAGACTATGTTTAGCAAGACATTTCACAACTGAGAATATTCTTTGTAACACTTTTCTTCAACGCTCTTTCTCTTTCATAATCTCTTCTTGCAAATTTTTATCGATTGTTTGATTTTTATTCAATCTTAATCTCAATTCATTCCAAGTATTCATATTAGTCTTATGTTCAACACTATTTTCATGTTGTTTAAGCCTTTGGCTATGTTTCCAATCACTTAAGCCATCATTTGCTAACAAACTTACATTACTAATCGATTTGAACAACTTGCAACAAAAACAATATATTTTGTCAACATTTTTGGAATAAACTAACAATTTTCTATCACTAGTCTCTCTATTGCTCAACTTTCTAAAATAACATGCATATGAGAAATGTCTATAATATTTATCAACAGAAAATTCAAGATCCATTTTTCTTATGGGCCCTTTTTCAACTAATATATCCCTCGCATTATTGTCAATATTCTCCCAATTTATAGGATCCATTTCTTCACCAATGCCTAAATTTTTAACATTTTCATCAATTGGCACATCATTAAAGTCAATTGGATCATTCACTTCCTCAATCACATTTTCAGAATTTCCAGGATGCAAATTTTCAGTTGATTGATTCAAAGTTTCATGAGAATCATCCTTTTTAAACACAAACTTATCAAGAGCACCTTTTTGTGACTTCTTTAACTCCTCCTCTCACTTCCTTTTTTTCTTTTTTTTTCACTTTCAGACAAATGTTTTTTAGGCAACATCTCATCAAAGAGTCAAACACAAACCAATTCTAATAAATAAGTATAAGAAAAGAACAACTGCACCTGGATTCTTCAATTAGAATTGTAACCCATTGAAGTAAGATAAAATCCCAAATTCCCAATTTGATAATTGACACTGTTGACATAAATATTAATAGTTATAACATGAACACCAAAATAAAAAGATCAAATAAGAGTCTAAATAACTATTGTATACATTTTTTTCTCAAAAAAATCTACTGTACAAAATAGGCATGTGATAATTACTTTAAAATTTAAAATTTTTAATTGTAAGTTTATACAGAATTTGAGAATTACAATTTGTACCATATACAAAACATATACAAAAAAACAGAATTACTATACAAAAAAGAAATTTACAGAATTATTAGAAATCATTGTAGATTTGTAGAATTTTTTAAACCATGAATATTATTATAATTATAAATTATAAGTTATATTTTAATAATTAAAAATAGGAAAGAGGAGGGAGAAATAAGCATACCTTCTAATTTCTCAATTAGGCCAGTTCGCAATCGTCAATTGCCCTCTGCAAGACCGCGAGTCGAAAAAATTAAAATAGTAAATAAGGAATCAGTTGATTGAATATATGACTCTAATATTTGATAGATGATGATTTGATTATTTGTGGTTAATGAATCCATTCTTTCTCTATTTATATTAGGAGATTTTATTCCTGTTGCCACCATATTAATTGGAAAAACTAGGTATTTGGGAAAAGAAGAATAAAAATTTAATGGTGTTTAATATTATGATTAATAATTAGACTGTTGTAAACTTGAAACTTGAGTTTTGGAGAATCAATTATGGTGGACTGAACAACCGAAGGTCACAAAAAGATGAAGAGTCAAAAAGTTTTTGAGAATCTGATATAATTGTGATTCAAAGGTTATAAAGTAATGTTTTAATTTTTTTATTTTTTAAATATGCATGACAACTAGCAAACATTAATTGATGAAGTTTATATTTCTTGTTTTGGGCTTATGGGTTGTGGCATCTCATCATTCAACTTTTCATTCAACTTTGCAGTAGGTAAGAATAATTTTTTTAAATAATAGCAGACTACCAGATTGGGAAGAATAGGTCCCCTCCAAACCTGGGCCCTAGGCGGTCGCACTCCACGCCTGGGGGTCAGCCCTGGTTTTCAGTGGTTATCCAAGGGTTTTCACATTGTTCTCTGTGGTTTTATTTACCTGTAACGGCTGATGGGCACGCTGTAATGCTATCCTTAATGAAGTTCCCATAAGTTTTTATCCAAAAATAAAGATAAAAAAGCACAACTACAGTTCTAAAACGACACTGGTCAAATCAAAGGCTAAGAAGGGTCCTTTCAAAACCAGTTTACTGCTTAACTCTGTGTGTTGTAAAGCTAGTATATGGTGACTGCTTGGGAACGAGCCCGACGTAGGTCACTAAACAGATAGAGCCATAACTCAACCCCAGGCAATAGCTAAAAACAAAACACACTACTTCACATGACAGAAAGCACTGAAAAATTTAAGAAAAACAGCAAAACATAGCGTCATTGCTAGTAGTTAGTAGTTACTGATGAACCTCATGCAAGGTAAGAAGATCAGATAAGGCCTTTTATTCAGTTGAGTTTAGCTTGGTAAGAAACAAGACTGTCAGTAACTGCTCATAAATGGTTTTACAAGATATAAACCCAGAGTTCGAGCTTTACAAGTTTGTCCCTGCTAGAAACCATAAACTATGAAGACCATCAGCCAATCTCTAAAAACCAATAGGTAGGTTTAAAAAACCAAAAAAAATGAGCGGGAAATGAAAAACATAATAAAAAACCAATGCAACACTAGGGAAGGAGGTGATACATACCAAAGACAGCTGTTTGGAAGACAAATATTTATACTCCAGGGACATAAACTAAGAAGACCACAGCGAATCTCTAATGACCCATTAGTAGGGTCAAAAAGGAAAAAATGATAAAAACAAATGCGACCTGAGGGAAGAAGTGGTGCATCCCAAGAAAACTGCTCGTTGGAAGACAAATGTAATACACCATGGACTGTGGATAATGCTCATCTCAACAGTTTTTCAACCCAATGTAGCTGGGCGAACTCCTACCAAGGAAACAGACATCAGTATCATCGCCAAAACATACTCAAAAGCACAGTGCTACACAACTTATGCAGAAATAATTAGTTTGGATACGGTCAATACAGTTCATAATATTTGTAATTTTGCCATAACAAGTTCCAATACCTTCTAAGTAGGGCTCATGCGCCACAAGTTTTGGGCATTTCCTACATTTAACGACAAATTTGCTGCTTTTCTTTAAACTGTAAACACTGCTCGGTAATATAGAGAGAAAATCTAATTAAAGCATATAGAAAAAAACCATCATTTTTATTTTGAACAACCCATACAACTATAAAACACCACCTAAATATCCGAATAATGTTCCATCAGTCATGTATGACCATCTCCCTTGGATAATAGGAGGGGACTTCAACATCATTTTGAAGTCGAATGAGACCTCTGCTCATGAGTTACTTGGCCCTGTTTCATCTCCCGAAATGAAAGATTTCCAAGAAGTCACGCAAGAACTTGCTCTACAAGACCATCCTTTCTTTGGTCCATTGTTTACATGGAGTAATAAACAGCAAGAATCATTCCTTGCAAGGAAGCTTGATAGGGTACTCATCAATTTCTTGTGGGCGAAAGAATTTCACAATTCATTTGTTGAATTCCTTGCTCTAGGTCCTTCAGACCATTGTATGGCTTTAGTTTCGCTCAACAAAGAGGTAGAAGCAAACAGACCCAAACCGTTCAAATTCTTCAATTTCTGGACTCTTCATCCTAGTTTCATGCATGAGGTACAACATTCTTGGCAACCTACTATTCAAGGTATCCTATGCAAGCCCTTTTTTCCAAACTAAAACGCCTCAAAGGCTGCCTTAAGAGACTTAATAAAGACTGCTACAGTGATATCTCAATCCGAGTCCAGCAAAAGAAAACAGAGCTGGAAATGCAGCAATTATCAACTTTAAAAGGAGACGACGCACTCGAGAAGGAGCTTTCTCTACAAAATGAACTAAAATCTCTCGAAGAAGCTGAGCTTATGTTCTTAAAACAAAAGGAAAAAGCCCAATGGTTAAAGGAGGGAGACAGATGCACTAAATTTTTCCACTCTATCGTTGCTGCCAAAAACAAACGGGATACAATCAGAGTGCTTGTCGATGATCGAGGAAGAAGGCTTGAATCCTTTGATAATATGGCCTCTGAAGTGATAAACTACTTCAAGAGCCTTATTGGCACTGCGGATCCCGCTGTAACCAATTGCGACCCTACTCTTCTTAAAGATCTGTTGCATTATACATTACCTATTGGAGCTTCATCTGATCTAGTCAAGGTAGTTTCTACAGAGGAGATTAAAGCAGCAATTTTCAATCAAGGTAATGATAAAGCTCTTGGTCGGCCCAGATGATTACACCCCTTACTTTTTCAAAAAATGCTGGAATGTGATTGGAGACGATGTGGTGAATGCGATTCGATACTTCTTTCAAGAAACTCTGCTGCTGCCAGCCTTCAATGCTACAACAATTCCATTGGTACCCAAAGTACCAAATCCAAGTAAGATTCAAGACTTCCGACCAATTTCATGCTGCTCAGTTGTCTACAAGGCAATTACCAAGATTTTAGTCAACAGTTTGACCAATCTGCTCCCAGAAATGATAACTTTGAATCAGTCTGCTTTCGTAAAAGGACGAAGCATTGTTGACAACACTCTCCTTGCTCAGGATATAGTTAAAGGCTACGGAAGGAAATTTATTTCCCCAAGATGTTGTATGAAGATTGATCTACGGAAGGCTTTCGATCCTCTCCATTGGGGCCTCATTTCTGCAATCTTAAAGGCTCTGGATCTTCCAATGACTTTCATCTCTTGGATTGAAGCTTGTTACACGCAAGCACGATACTCCATCTCTTTCAATGGCATTCTGATTGGCTACTTCAAGGGTGCTAGGGGTATAAGGCAGGGTGACCCTCTTTCTCCTTTCTTATTTGTCCTCTCAATGAATGTACTCTCCAGACTTCTTAATTTAGCTGCCACTCGAGGTATGTTTGGCTTTCATCCTAAATGCAAAAAGATTGGTCTCACTCACTTAATGTTTGCGGATGATCTCCTTATCTTTTGTAAAGGAAATGTGAAATCTATTATAAGAGTCATCAGTGTCCTAGATAAATTCTACGAAATGTCTGGACTACATCTCAATGCGGCCAAATGTGAATTTTATGTTGCTGGTATCCCTATTAATTGCATAGAGACTATATGCAGGATCACAGGTTTCACACATGGATGCTTGCCTGTAAGATACTTAGGGGTCCCTCTAGTTACGAGAAAACTCTATGAAAAGGACTGTGTAGTTCTCATTGATAAAATCAAATCCAAGCTCCGTCACTGGACTGGAAGACACTTGTCTTATGCAGGTAGACTCGAACTTATCAGAGCAGTCATATTTAGTGTTGCTAACTACTGGTGCAGGAAGTTACTTTTACCACAGTCAATTATAAACAGAATCCAGCAACTTTGTTCTCGTTTTCTCTGGAAAGGCTCTGACACGGCTGCCACTGGAGCTAGAGTAAGCTAGAAAATGATATGCCATTCGAAATCTGAAGGAGGGCTTGGCCTAAAGGACCTAAAAGCATGGAACAAAGCGTGCATGATCCAGCTCATTAGAAACATCCTAGCAGGAGAGGGGTTACTGTGGGTTGCTTGGGTGAAATCCTATGTGTTAAAAAATAAAGATTTCTGGCATGCAGAAGATGGTACTAATGCTAGTTGGAGCTTCAGAAAACTACTAAACCATAAAAGAGAAGCACAAATTGTTCTTTCTACAAGAGCAACGACGACTCGTGCCATCTGGGATGAGATTCGAGTAAAGGGAGACAAATTTAATTGGCATAATATAATCTGGTTTCCTCTACACATTCCAAAACACAGCATGATTGCTTGGATGGCTATCTTGGACATACTACCCACTCGGAATAGGCTTCATCAAATGGGCATTATAACTGATGGCTTATGTGTATTGTGCAATGAAGATCAGGAGACAAGAGACCACCTGTTCCTTCAATGTCCACTGGCGGATTCCCTCTGGAAGGCCATTCTGCACCTCTCTGGATTAAGGTCTACTACTTTGTCCTGGAACAACTTTTTAGCATCGGGTTCCCTTGCTTGGAAAGGTAAATCACTACTTATCACTATCTTGAAACTTGCATGGTGTGCATTCCTCTATTCTCTATGGGAGGAACAAAACAGAAGATTGTTCAAAGGAAACTCTAGAACGGCGGTTGAAATTCTTAAAGCTATCAAGGAGATGGTCGGAATGCAACTAAGAGGCCGGAACATCAATAGACTCGATAGTATTAATATCATTCTTTGTAAGAATTGGAGTATTGAATAACCTATAATCTGTTTTGTGAATAGGTTATTCATGATTTTTGTTGATATCCCATTGATGTTTGTTTTGTAGCAGATCACTGCTCATTTGGGTAATAAAAATTTTAATTATCCAAAAAAAATATCTTAGAGTAACTTCAATACTATAGATTTCATTCAGTAACTTCAATACTTCAAAGTTGAAGGGCTAAATTTATAAAGTTAAAGGACTAAATTTATAATTAAACCAATATCTTAAACAGTAAAAAGAGTTGGTCTTTACTTGGGTTTCTTAAATATTAACTTTACTTTTTTTCTTCTCACACTTCAATGTTTCCTCATCTTCCTTTTTTTTCCTCTCTAAAATGCCAGTCCATCTTCCTTTCTTTTCCTTTACCAAATTACCTATCAAAAAAATATGTTGACTCTACCGCCGACTGGCAAGATCGGCCCTTCCACGATCTTCATTACCACCCCTTCTCCTACTGAATCCTTACCCCTATATTTGTTTCTTTGTTTTTGGTTTGATGGGCTTTTATTTCCTTTGCTTCTGCTGTGAGGGTTTTTGTTTTCTTTGGTTTGTTGTGGTGGGTTTCTTCTTTCTTTGGTTTGTTTTCATTGGGTTTATGCTTCCATTATTTTCGCTGTGGGATTTTGGTACACTAATTTCACCGTTTCGATACGCGAGCGAAACGCGAATTGGAACGGGCGAACCGCGAATTGGAACGGACGAACTGAAACGAGATTCACGGGGTGGAACGCGTTCGTACCGCGTTTTGGATCGCAACGTATAGTACGTAGATCGTGGGCTATTGAGCGATTTATGTAACTATGGGAAAAACATTTCCCCAGTTAAAACACCACCCATAGTATTGTCTTGAGTAGGGCATTTTGAACAGTGTCGTCGGAATACATCAGGAACAGATGGCATCTTTGGGAAAACGGTCGGAACACACGCATCTTCAAAGTCCGGCTGAACCCACCATGGCTAGCCTCCCTCTCTGCTGCAGTCCTTCTCCCTCTCTCCCTCTCTACTGCAGCCCCTCTGCCTCCCTCTCTGCTGCACATTTCAAGTTTAAAGCAAAGCCGGAGGTGAAGAGTCTGAAGACACCGGGTGCTCCAGCCGTCTTTCGGAAGATGCCAGTTGTTCCGGCCAACTTCCAGCGTTCACTGTAGCTTTCACCCTAATATTTTTTCCCCTCCCTCATATCAGTCTTTTTTTTCAAAGCCCCATAAGGGCATTTTTGCCTAGAATTACCATATAATTGACATGCTTGGAACAATAAAAGAACTATATAGTATATGGTTACATCAAATAAGTTCAACACAAGAAGAAAAGTATTCCTTATAGCAGCCGTGACAAGGTACAAGAAGCACAAATTGTGCAAAAACCTTCCAAGAAGATTAAAATCTTGGATTTGAAGCTCCAAGCCACAACTAGATAAGCAAATAACTACAACCAATATAAAAGTTACAGAAGATAAAATAAATCAAGAGAAACTAACTTTCCAGTACTCATCATAAAATTATATAAAGAAGTTAAGATAAAGAAATTCCAAATTTTACCTTTCCTCCTTTTATTGCCAGAATAATTGCCGTTGGACCCTACACTTCCAACCACACCTGTAGAAAGCACCTTTGCTCCTGAGTTGTGGTCAGCGAAACACTGGTAATTGTCAAAGTCACACCCGTTAAATCCTTGTCCATTCAGCGTTACATCTTCTCCTGTTCTACCTTCAACTCCAGGATGCGGGCAATACATCAGATCATTGCATTGTACATTGCAAGGATTCATCACATAAGAACCAGGAATATTCATCGGGTTAACAGTAGTTGCTGATTTCTGATACGGAAAAGATCCAATCTCCCCTTCAATCCTTCCTCGAATATCCACAAGCAAACACTTAAGCCTAGCAACCTCAGCCTCCAATGCAGCCTGCCCTTGTAACTTCTTCAAGAGCTGCTGGTTCACTGCCCTCAATCTCAGAACCTCATCCTCCAACAATGCAGCTCGTGCCTTAACCTTTTCCCTATACTTCCTGACAGCTTCACGATTACCCAGTGGACGTTTCTTCGATTTCTCCTTGGACCCAGCAGTGTCATCGCTAGTCTTGTCTTCTGTTGAAGCAGGCACAATTTTGGTATGAACATGGAAACATGTGTGTGAATGAGAATTATCAGGACCAGGTGGGTTGCATGTATGTGTATGAGTACAAGCATGAGAATCATTGAGTAATTCATCAAAAAAACTGTCCATTGAACAACTGCTTGGAATATCACCAATGTTATTCCCAGAAAACACTTCCTGGTTCGAAAATTCAAGCTCCCCGTCGTCCATTACAGGTAGAAACCCTAGGGAAATCGAAGGTAAACACTTGAATGTAGCAAAGGAGAGATAAATTTGCGATTTTTTAATTAAACAAAATAAACTAATCAAAGCAAGTAATCAAGTTAGAACACAACATTTTGTCAAACATTACGAGATTTAATTTAAAAAATCAACTGGCAAAGAATCACACAGATCATAAAAAAATAAAAGAGAAAAAAAAAAGTCTTACTCGGCTTGAACAACCTGGGATGGCCACAACAGTTGGATAAAATCAAAGGTTCAACAAGAAATCAAGGCAAAGAATCGAATAAAGAGCAGCACTGTTACCATAGATTCGGCAATTCGGAACCCTAACACATAAAAGGCGGCTCCTTTTTTCCTCAAAGGGAAAACAAGGGCGCAAAGACTAAATGAGTAATTAGAAGAAAAGTGAGAATTGGGTAACAAGAAAATGAAATTTTTTACAAGGGAATAAAAATATGAACTTTTTTAAAATTTTGCATATAAGGTCAATAGAATGATGAATTTATGGCATCGTGAAGATCCTGAAATGGACGGACCAGAAACAAAGATATGGACGCTTTGATGCTCTCGTTGCAGGTATTCCAGGAGTCCTTTTTTGTGTATTCTCTGGTCAGAAACCATTTTGCTTGCAATTTATAGGTTCTCGAGGGACTATGCTTGAAAAATATTCTATTAAAAAGAAATATTCATAATTATAACGATGGTTTATATTTAGGGTTAATTACACGGTTAATCAAATATGTTTATGCTTTGTTCATTTTTACTCACTCATTCCAAAAAAAACATAGTATACAATAATTTTAGTTTTTATTAATTAATATATAATCGCTTTTGTTTTTATCTAATTAAATGTGGTTACCATAGGTTAATTATCGTTAAAATTTAACAGATTAGGTAACTTGATATTTTGGTAAAATCACACATTTGGTTCTTATTATTTACATATTCTCTCAATTTAATCTTACTTTTAATACATTAAAATAAAATTAATCCTTCAATCGAATGATGTCACGTGTCATTGGTGTCATGCATCACTAGTGTCATGTGTCACTAATGTCACGTATCATCATTCGGTTGGAGGACTAACTTTATTTTAATTTAATATATTTATTTTCCATCAATATTTTGAAAAGTTAGTTCTTTAATCGAATGGTGACATGTGACATAACGCGTAGAATCATTTGATTTGAGGATTAGATTAATTTTAATTTGATAAAAGTATGAATAAAGTGAGAGAATATGTAAATAACATGTACCAAATGTGTATTTATAACAAAATATTTAATGACAGTTAACTCGTGAGAATCACATATTAATTAAATAAAAATGAAAATAACCATGTACTATTTTTTTAAAATTAATTAGAAAAAGTGGACAAAACATAAATATAAATGATCAATCATGTAATTTACTTTATATTTATTAGCGTAAAAAGATAGTAATTGATATAAGGGTAAAGTGTACAAATAGTCCCTAAATTGTTAGGATACTTGCATTCTGATCATCAAATTTTTAAAACTTATAATATAATCATCAAACTTTTATTTTGTTTCTACTTATGTCCTTATCGTTATTTTCCGTTAGTTTTTGTTGACGTAACAATTGACTTCATTAACTCTCTGACGTAGCAGCTTCTTCTTCTTTTCCGTCGACTCCGACACCCTGAACAACATCTTCACCACCGCTTTTACACTGTTCAGATTCTTTATCAGCGCCTCTTTTGCTCTCTCGTTCTCTAGCACTTGCTCTATTATCGCCATCGCCATCGACACCAAGCTTCTCTCCTTCCTCTCCGAGTTCCAAATGTATGTAACCAGCCCATCGATCATGCCCTGTTAGACAAGTTTTTCCATGTTTGATTCCAAGCAACACATCACTGAAATGGCTTGGATTCCAGCATCGTATATCTCACTGTTTTGCTTCACAACACAGATGATCATGTTCAACAATCTCTAGTTTTTTCAATCATTCCACAGAGCTCCCTGGTTACCGAGGACCACGAAAGATTCCAGCTTTGACCCTTCTTTAAGCATATTCAAACACTCCAATTCTCCCAAAGGAAGCAGCTTAAGAACACAAGAAAGCTCCTGCTCCACGAAGTTGATGTAGTCTTGGGAGAATCCAGGGTCTATCTTTTCGAAAACCAGTTTCAGAAACAAAGGCAAGAAACCCATTTCGATCAAAAAGGAATCTATTTCATCGATTAGGTCCTCAATCTTTTGCAGTACTTGTAGTTTCTCTAGGAAGGTTGATGAAGGAGATGAAAGGGAGTGTTTGAGGGAGACTACAAGGTCGATTGTTGTGACGTAATCAGGGTGTAACTGGTGACCCAATTGACGCTTTTGTTGAATCAAATGACGAAAATTATGGTTCAGGACAAGAGATGGATCGTGGAACTTTTGCATTGTAACAGGGCATGTGAGATAACCCGCAGCTAACCATTTTTGTATGCTCGGTCTGTCATCATTTCATCTTCTTCCATGGAAGAAGAAACAACCCAAAAGTCAAGGATTTGCAGTAGCAGACACTGGGGAAAGAAAGAGCCGAAATGCAAGCTGTGGTGGAGGTGGAGGAGGAGGAGGAGGAAAAGCCATGTCATAGAGTTAACATATTTATAAACATATATAAAAAATGTTAAAAATTTAAAAAAAAAATTAAATAAAATATAGATATGAACGTTTGCATTATCAAATTTAACTTTGAAAAAATTAAATAAAAAAATAATTAAATATGGATAAAAAATCAAAAGTGTGAAAATAAAGAAAGATTTATTCAAGGAGATATATTCTCACATTTATGTATGATATTATTTTTTAGATATATTCATTTATCATGTATCTTGCTAGATGTTACATATGATTTATCTTTATATACTCATTAATAATTGCAGTTGAAAGACAAAAAGAAAAAATAAATTGTGAATTGCGGAGCACATTTACAAGGGTATTTCAGAAAACCATCAATGTTGTGAAAATTTGCAGGTCATTGTAATTGGATGATACGCTTGTGAAGATTTCTAAACTTAACCCGAACTCGATTACTCGAATCGATTTTATCCGACCCTATATTCGATATTAACCCAAACATGATATTCAAAATTGATCTGATACCCTACTCATATCCGATCCAAAATTTAGTGAAACCGAAATCAACCAGAACTGAAATTAATCGGAACTGAAATTAACCCGAACTGAAACCAAAATTAACTCGAACTAAAAGCAACCCGAACCTAAAGAAACCCGAACCAAATTTTAACCCGATCTGAAAGTAACCGAACCGAATTTAACCTGACCTGAAAGCAACCTGAATAGATTGAAATTGATAAAAGTTATTAAACGATAAAAGTTATTTTCAATAATAAATTAATTTAAATAAAACTAATAATTTATTAAAAATATTATATTTATAATAAAATAATAGAAAGTTTAAGAGGAATATAAAATTAAGAATCTAATTGTAATATTGAAAACAATAATAAATAAAGTTCACTTATCTTACTTGTTATAAAAATATTATATTTATAATAAAAATAATAGAAAACAATTAAGACAAAAGAAATAATATTAGATTTATAATAAAAATAATATAAAATTTACTTATGTTAAGACTAAAACTTAAAAAATAAAGTTATGTATTATTTTTAAAATTTAATAAAAATATTTCATTTATAATTTAAGAATTTTAATAAAAAATATTTATTTATCAAATAGTTCTCATTTTAAACTTTTCATACGAGATCAATATAAATTTTGATAATAAATTCTAACACGTATTATAGGATCATATTTGTGTCAAATTATCGATTTATCCTCTCTAAATGATGGTTTAATTCAAAATATTGAACGATTGAAAATTTAAATTAAAGCTAAATGATAAAATTAAAAAATAAGAAGACATATTTTTACAAGTATATATCAATTACTCTATATATATTTGATTTTGATTAGACTCATAACCAATTTAACCTGAATTGACTTGATCTAAAGGTTGACCTAAACCAAAAATCAATTGATCCAATATTGACCCGACCCGAAATATAACCATCCGGTATTAACCCGACCCAAAATTCAACCGATCTGATATTAACCCGACCCAATATTGACCCGATCTAAAAATCAACAGATCCGATATGATTTAAACCCCGAAATATAACCATCCGGTATTAACCCGACCCAAAATTCAACCGATCTGATATTAACCCGACCCAATATTGACCCGATCTAAAAATCAACAGATCCGATATTGATTTAAACCAGAAAACAACCGATCCAATAATCACTCAACCCAAAAATTGACCCGACCCGATACCCGACCTGATCCGATTCACCATAAACCCGAACTAGATCTGAACCAAATCCGATCCGTTCTGAACAAAATTAAATCAAATTTAATCTAGACCTAAAATTATTCGATCCGAAATGACCCGATCTGAATGACATGTTTGCCACCTCTAGATACACTATTCGTAAGTCGTCGAAATTCAATAATATACTAGTTTATTTTATTTTTAGTTATTAGTGCCTGTTTTTTCATATGAACGAATGAGTGTATTTTGTTGCATTCTCGTTCTCTCCAACAGATTCCTGCAATACTTGAATTTAGATAAACGTATTATCTAAATTTAATACAATTGAATTCGAATAATAAGATAAAGATTTAAAAATGGTAGGAGATTTCTAATCAATTTAATCATAAACAAAGTCAAAGATCTGCTAAATATGCTGAAGGAAATGGCTTCATAATCGCAACAGATTAATAGAAATCCCAAGTTTCATGCAACCTTTGCGTCTTATATGAGTGTTCTTCACGTGCATTATCTAATGAGATTTCCAACCGTAGAGCTCCTCCCATTATACCGTTCTAAAATTGCTTGTATCCGCTAGCTGTTAATTTCCCGGTCTGAGAAAAATATTTTTTAGACTGGGAGCATATCGAGCAACTACGACGAAGGCAAAGTCGATATCAATCCGTATCATTTTCGTAACCTTTTTTTCAATTTTGTTGATTACTTCCGGTTTTGCACAAGACAACGACAAGAACAATGGTGGCGACAATGAAGATGATAACATAGGTGAAGAGATGAATGTTCCGGGGAGAGTGAACATGAGCGTCACTTACGATGAACAATCTTTGATCTTCAATGGCAGAAGAGCGCTTGTTTTTTGGGGCGCCATTCATTATCCTCGCAGCCCCCCGGAGGTATGATTTATGCTTACGTACATACATACGCATATGTATCTTTGAGTTTTCATAGGTTGAGCTGAACTATTGAGGATGCAGTACTGGGAGGATCTCATTGTAAAGTCTAAACGTGGAGGCCTCAACGCGATCGAGATGTACGTGTTCTGGAATGGTCATGAGCCGGAGCAGGGGAATTTCAATTTCGAAGGAGAGTACGACTTGGTGAAGTTCATTAAGCTGATCGCCAAGCAGAAAATGTCAGCGATCGTGAGGCTCGGTCCATTTGTGCAAGCTGAATAGAACAATGGGTAAAGATTC